GCTTGACGTAGGGTCCAAGTCTCCTGGATCATGTTCATTCTGAAAATCACGTTCCCGAAGGTTTCATTCTGTTTGGACTCCGTTTGATATTCTTTTTCTGCGAAACTCTGAAATAGGCAAAAAAACATCAATTCTGGGTTGGGCCTCCGGTTAATCGGTTAGTCCCAAAAATAATATATAAGTGAATAATAAAGCCCAATAATGTCCAAAATAGAAGATAATATAGCATGGAGCAATCAAAAATTATAGATGCGTTGGAGATGTATCAGTACACTTCAGGAATATATCATTTGTATGTAAAGCACATGGAACTATTCACCATTGTAATATACCGTAAACTCCACAATATAATGGAGGAATTGATTGTCTTTTATACTCCCTTGTTTCTTTGGAGAGAAGCATTGCATACTCTCGTTTGTTGAATCATTCTAGATTTAGCACAACCACTTGATTGGAAGGAAATCTTCTATTTTGGCATGAAATTCTCAGTTATTACAAAGCGCACACCATGAATTTTTCATGGTTATTCTAGTGGATCAAAGGGTGTTTTCTCCTTTATCTGGAAAAGGAACACAGTGGAAAGTAGGAAAACAATCATTTTTATAATCAAGGGTGGAATTATTGCCAATCATACCGGAATATAATCTTGACACCAAGGAAACTACAAGTGACACTCCCAACACTTTAGGATAAGTGGGAGGAATTAACTTGGAATGTAATCTCTGGATAATTGTTATGTGATTTTTGGGGGAAGTCACTCTAAATAGTAGAGGAAGAATCCTAAGAAGGCTTAAAAATTTTCATCATTGTCAACTATGGGTGGAAGAAACGCGGGAAGGAATAAACTCAATGAGGAATTATATAGTTTGGGAACTTATTATCATACCAAACAACCGCACACCCATTGTTTGTAAGTGTATTTTTATTTATTTGTGAGGAATTTTATCTCATTAGAATATTATAATGTCACACTTGCTATTAAGTTCTTTGCACAAAGGAAAATATACTTTATGGAAACTCTCTCTCCTGGAATATAGGGAAGAGGAACTAAAGACATGGTTTGCTAATTGAATATATTCATGTATGGTCTTATAGCAAGCTTTCACATCAATGGAATAGTTGGTCATATGGTTTTCTAAATGAAGCAAGGCGGTCATCTACAAATGTAAGTGTAAAGTATTTTGCATTGTTATTGTATACGTTAACATTGTTTTGTTGTTTGCAATGGTAAATTCACATTGATGGAAGTGAAAGCTTGGTCATCTTTTAACTTTCATATGAAAGGAATATTTGAAACATCCTATGTTTTACAAGTGGAAATACATAGAAACTATTTTGAAGTGTTTCTTTATGGAAAATTGCAAATATATTAAAATACCTTTGATAAAGGGAATCATACTCAGTGAGGAATTATATTTCAACTCCTAAGGGAAGATGGACTAATGAATGCTACTGGAATAGATATGTATCTTCATTATATTATCATACTTTTGCTACCAGAATGTATGCTGCACTCAAGCAGTGGAAGGTTAGACGAGCAGCTAAGGGAATCTCACACATCATATAAGATTGTGGAAAGTGCATCACAATCTGTCACTTGTTCTGAAATTTATATTAAAGGTAAACACATTGAGGAAGTTATTACTGTATCTACGAGATGAGAAATAAGTCCAGGTATGCGTATTAAATTATTATTTTTAGTACTAATATGGTGCAGGTTCACTGACCGAAGTTAGAGAATTCTTTTCAAACATGGTTACTGATGGAACTTCATTTACTGATTGGATTTGATATTTATGTGGTTTTGAAAATTTATTCAACATGGTTGTCATATATTTTGACTTAATGTGGATTCATATTATTGATATATGTGACTGAAAATAATTGATACGAAATTTCACTTGAGGAAACAAAATACTTAAGGTGCCTATAAAGGTGGAATTACACTCGAGGAAATAATAATCTATGCTGGAATAATTAGACGAAAACTAAGGTCTCTAGTGATCTTAAGTGTCACAGCAAGGAAACATACTAACGGAAGGTATCACTATATATTTCTTTGGATTTTCAATGTAGTGTTAGGTTGCTGGCCCCTTGACTAAGCCTATTAGTCATGAGGTATTTGGTAAGCATGTTAAGGCTATGGGTTTACGAATATTTGAATGATCGTTTTGGACAAGTGGGAGATGCTGGAATTATGTGTCCTGCAACTATATTCAAATTGCTTGGAATTGTTAATATTCGAAATACCTTATTATGGAACTATACATGTATTTATACATGGAAATGATTTACATGTTTAGCATGGAATTGTTACTTGCTAGAATGTACTTAAGTAGTATATGCTTAAGGAAGCTGGTTGATTATCAGTGGAATACAATATACTCCCTCCGTTCCTTGATATAAGGTGTATAGATTTTTTAGAAAAAACCCAAAATATAAGGTGTATTGCGTTGCACCACTCGTTTGGATAATTTGTTTAGGGATTTTATTACATTTTCATACATTAGGCAAGCTCCTCTATTTTCTCATGCCAATTAGTCGGGTGTAATCTCGCCCAAAACTTGTGAAATTTTTCCTCCACGTGTGTTCTTTAATTTTCATTGGAAAGACTACCCGGGTACCCTGATGATTGGAAGGAGCTAGATGGTGTAATTAGATTACAACCCTAATGTTGATCTACATAATTAGAGTAATTTACATTCTATTATGGCGTGTTGCTCACAAGCGCGTGCTCCGGGGACATAATGGATAGAATCCGTTAACAGACAAATATGATCATGGTTAGTAATTTGATTTGGAATCTATCCCGGAAACTAATGAAAAAACTAGGAATCTTATATTTGTATAAAAGAGGGACTATTTGAAAACACAGTATAAAAAGGTCCCTACCCACTAATCTCAGACATGCGAATTGTGAGCGGCATCATAGATAAACGCAAAGGAATAGGGATAGACCGCAAAGCTTCCCTTTCTTTTGTTTTCTGGGAGGACGTAGAATACAATTTTTTGTATTCGTTATTCATGGAACTAGGAAGCCATACAACATTTCTTGGCTGTCGATCGCTTTCTGAAGGAAAAGAAGTTGCATGGCTCCTGCTCATCTGCCGCCCGGACGTTATTAATTATAGCAGATAATTAGTCCAGTGAGCTATTATCACTCTTTGCTAGTGTCGTGATCAGAGTTATTGTTTCTTTCAATAGTAAAAAAAAAGACCTGTCTAATTAGATAGAATCACGATTTTTTTTAAAAAGGACGACATTTTAGAGATGATCATGGGCTAGCCCCAGCAGGCGTATGCACCACCGACGGATACGGGTTACTTAAATTGGTATGAAAAGAAACAAGTCTAAAATGGTGTCTGACTCAGCTTAGATCAAAACACGAGAAAAAACAAGCATACAATACGACCTCAAGGTTAGGTGGCGCCGCGCAAACCTTCGGCATTTAGCTTGGGCTCCGCTCCAACCCCGTCGGTTTATATTAAGGACGCCCATGTTCTTGTGCGTGTGGACCGCATTTAAGGCCAACTCCAACGCGTGACATCATTTGGTCCTGACATGTCTATTTGGAACGAAACAAACACAAATCGCGCCCCAATGCACGGAGCAAACGAACACCAGTGTGTTTTTTGTCCGTCGTCAACGCATTTCTGGCTAAAATTTGGATCACGTTTGTGTCAAAACGAGTGTGAGGCCTTCTCCTCCTCTGGACCGCGCGTTGGTGAAACAATCCCTCTTTTCTCTTTCCCTATGCGGTCGGCCCCTCCCCCTGCCCCCGCCATAGTCGCCGCTCATTTTCTGTCCGCTTTCTCGCTGTCCATCCTGGCCGCCCAAACTCAGTCCATTGCAATAACCGGTAAGGCCATTTGCAGAAAAGTGCAATCTCAGTCCAAACTTCAAAACCGCGGGCAGTCTTGGTTGGAGCTGTGTGGCGACTACGATGTTCCTCAATAGAAATAATGTTTCCCACGTTTTATCCCCGTCCTGATGGTGCTTTACTGTCGTCGTAGGGCGTGGGGAGGTCTGTCTCCATCGGACCTTGCGGAATTCGGTCGATCTTCAGTGGATCTATTTGGTTCTAGTCTTTGTTCGTCTTCGCTTGGGCGTTTAGAGACTTGATCCTTCGGATCTACGACTTTCTTCATCGGCGATGGTTGCTGCTCTGGTGTGCTTGTTCTATCGGGTCTTAACACGATGACTTTCCGACTGTCTACTACAACAAGATTTGCCCGGCTCCGACGAGAGAAGGGCGATGACGGTGCCTCGCCTTCGGCTTGCTCCAGTGTCAGTAGTCGTCACTAGGTGGTCCACGGACCTGGTTGTAATTTTATTACCTCCGGTGTTCTTTGTACTGCCATAATTAATGATGAATAAATTAAAAATTTCTCATGCATAAAAAAAGTATGGCCCAATGATTAGGGAGTGTTGAACTATCCGCTTTGTTTCGAAATATTTGAAGTTTTAGATTGTTTGCTCAAGTCCATAGGAAAATGCATCAACATTCATAACACCCACCGTGAGTATTATATATGATTTTATGGGTTTTTGCAAAAGAAAAATTTATAACTTGATCAAACTTCATCGCAAAAAAAAAATCATCAGAAAAAAAAACTTGAAAAATTTGACTAGACGAACTGGGGCTTCAAATATTTTGAAACGAAATAGATACTTTGTCAAACTGCCATCTCTTGAGCAGTTGACAGAAACGGTCTCTCGTCCGATCTTGTGTGGATCAAACATCAACACGCACACACTTGACACTTGAAACCACAATTCTCGGCAAGGGAATTGACCCAGACCCAGACTCAGACCAAGCACAACCCATGCTCGGTCAAATCCATCACCCACTCCTCCGCGGCTGCCCGACCTATAAATACCCAACTTGGTCGGTCCATGGCTTCCATCCCCAACCACCTTCGTCAGTTCATCAACACGACACGGGAAGCAGCAAAACCTTGGAGCCACTTCGCCTTCGAAACCCGCTGCAGTCCAGTCGCCAGCCTCCAGGGAAGCATGGCGGCACTCCGGGCCCAGCGCCTCTTCTTGGTCCAGTCTTCCTCATCCCCTTCCACTTCCACAGCGCGGCCACGACGGAGCAGCGCTGCCACCTGTCGCGCCGCCCTGCGCGTGCCTTCTGGCATTCGCACAACGCAGGACGACCTCAGCCTCAAGCTTGAATGGATTGAGCCGCAGGCCACGCGCGCCCCGGCCTCCCCGTCGGCGGACGTGTCCGTCGAGAAGCTCCGCGCCATCGTGGACGCGGCGGCGGACCGGGCGGAGATGCACGACATTGTTGGAAATATGAGAAAATTACTACGAGATTTAATCCGAATAAATAGAAGATAAATCATGACCACAGCAGCAAAGATTAAACTAATCATGCGAACTAGCATAGCAGATGAACATATCACATCTAGGGCACATACTAGAAGCATGAATTCTACCACGATCTCGAACAGGAAGGATAGAATCACATACGATGCAGCGGGTGCAGCACCGCCGGTGTTGACGTTGTCGCCCATGTCGTCGAGGACGAGGTTGCCGAGGTCGGGGAAGAAGTCGTCGTTCGCGAAGTCGTCGCTGCCAGCAGTCGCGCGAGTGCGCTCCCCAAAAACCTGATCGCCCCTCTCCCATACAGGATCACGAGAGGCGGGGTTTCGGAGGCCTGCTGTCCCTTCTCGCGGTGCATGCCGGAAGGAGGGATGGAGCAGACTTGCTTGGCGACGCAATGATCACGAACGGTGGTGAGAAACCATACAAAGCGGCGGCGGCTAGGGTAGACGTCTGCCTGACTATATAGTGCGGGTCGGGTAGGTCGTGGGAGTAAACCCCACGTCCGAGTCGGCACGATCCAAAAGAATCGGAAACGGTTCAGTAATTAACGCGTCCGTTAATTATTAATTAATGACTCATTAATTTTCCCATGCAGCAAAAATATAGACAACGTGCACAGCTCTGTCCTCGGCTCGGCTCAATCCCGCAACCCGCGGCGCGGTGCGGCGTGGCGAGGCGGGCGAGGAGGAGGAGCGCGCGTGTAGGTCTCCTCTTCTCATGCTCATACAAGTGGTAGAAGAGCTCACCTTATAAAGAGGTGCAACTCTCTCTCAACTTTCAGGGTGGGACTAAACTTTAGCCTCACTCACTCCACTCACATGTCTGCATGAATGGGCCAAGAGAATTTCAGAATTTTAGTTGGGCTTTGGGCCAAAGGCCTACTAGCAAAATTCCAACAATCCCCCACAAAGTCTCATTGGCACATCTCATCATTTAGTTCCAAAACATTGTTTTATATATCGGTGCTTAGTGGAGACTGTGAAGTTGAACTTCCACTTAGAAATTTATGCTACACTAGATCACAACTTGAATAGTGGACTATGCCTTGAACTACTAGTTTTCTTTGAAACTAGTTTCACACAAATTCTTGACCGATACTGGGCTGCCGCAAGGCTTCCTCGCGGGTGGAGCGTATACGTCATACTCCAGGGCCTTTCATGAATTTATTAGAGAACACCCAATTCTCACAGACTGCGATGTTAATAGTCAAATTCATATAGGTGTGTTCCTCAGAAGATGTTCTGCAGGACAACATCTCTGCTTACCCGAATAAGCCACTTGGAACACATTAAGATAAGTATCAACCTGCCATGCAGATCAGGAGAGTATTGCATCTTCACGGAGTGAGATAATTAATATAGGGATACTCTCCTCCCAGCTGACCAACAGCTTGTCTCCCACTTCTACTTCACGGGATCTCCGATCACATAGAGTGGTTTACCACTATGGACAACTCATGCGGTGGGTCTCAAACCCATCTCCATCGATGCATTATCTATCACATTACGTGATAGACCCTTTGTGAAGGGATCTACCAAGTTTTTCGACGTTTGGATATAATCCAACGTAATAACTCCGGAGTTCCTCAATTTTCTGACAGATTTTAGTCTCCTCTTCACATGCCTTGAGGACTTCATATTGTCCTTAGAACTGTTTATCTTGACAATCACAATTTGATTATCACAGTTCATCAGGATAGGGGGTATTGGTTTTTCAACCATAGGTAAGTCCATCAAGAGTTCACGAAGCCACTCTGCTTCAACAGTGGCAGTGTCTAATGCTGTGAGTTCTGCTTCCATAGTTGACCTCGTTAAGATGGTCTGATTGCAAGACTTCCAGGAAACAGCGCCACCACCAAGTGTAAAAACATAACCACTTGTGGCCTTAATCTCATCAGCATCAGATATCCAGTTTGAGTCACTATAACCCTCCAATACCCTTGGATACCCGGTGTAGTGAATCCCATAGCTCGCGGCGCCTTTCAAATAGCGCATAACTCTCTCAAGCGCATGCCAATGATCATCTTCCGGTTTTGACACAAACCGACTCAGCTTGCTCACAGCAAAAGAGATGTCAGTTGATCTCTAGCAATCCGTCGATTCTTTCGAAGCAACACACTAGCATCATATGGAGTTGGAGAAGGCGTGCAGTCGCTATACCCAAAACGACTCAAGACCTTTTCCACATAATGAGACTGAAGCAGTGTGATCCCACCATTCTCATCTCTCAACAGCTTGATGTTTAAGATAACATCAGCTACTCCTAGATCCTTCATCTCAAAACAGCGAGATAAGAAATCCTTAACCTCCTTGATTAAATCAAGTTTGGTTCCAAAGATCAATATGTCGTCGACATAAAGACAAAGAATAACTCCTTCGCCCCCACCATAGCGATAGTACACGCACTTGTCACCATCGTTTACTACAAAGCCGGCAGCAGTTAATGTTCTTTCGAACTTCTCATGCCACTCCTTAGGAGCTTGTTTAAGGCCATATAAAGACTTTAATAACTTGCACACCTTTCCTTCTTGACCAGGTACTACAAAACCATCTGGCTGATCCATGTAAATTTCCTCCTTCAACTCTCCATTGAGGAAAGCCGTCTTAACGTCCATTTGATGAACGAGAAGACCATGTGAGGCAGCCAATGATAGTAGCACTCGAATTGTGGTCAGTCTAGCCACGGGTGAGTAAGTATCAAAGAAGTCTTCACCTTCTTTCTGGGTATAACCCTTGGCCACAAGCCGTGCCTTGTACTTTTCAATCGTACCATCAGGTCTAAGCTTCTTCTTAAACACCCACTTACATCCTACAGGTTTGCACCCACAAGGACGGTCAGTGATCTCCGAGGTACCGTTAGCTAAGATGGAATCCATCTCACTACGTACAGCTTCCTTCCAGTAGTCAGCATCAGGAGATGCATAGGCTTCTGAAATAGTCCTGGGTGTGTCATCCACGAGGTACACAATGAAATCATCACCAAAAGACTTTGCAGTCCTCTGTCTCTTACTCCTCATAGGAACTTATTACCCTCAACAGGATTCTCAACGTGTTCCATCGCAATGGTGGGTTCAGGAATTACAGTGAATTCCTCACTAGATGGAGTAGGTATCTCCTGATTTGATGAACTTGACATATCCTTCATAGGAAATATGTCCTCAAATAAAGTTGCATCATTTGATTCCATAATCGTACCAACATGCATGTTGGATACCTCAGATTTTATTATCAAAAATCTATAGCCGATGCTATGAAAAGCATAGCCCAAAAGAACACAATCCACGGTTTTTGGTCCAAGCTTGCGCTTCTTGGGAATTGGTATATTGACTTTCGCCAAACAACCCCAAGTACGTAGGTAAGAGAGTTTCAACCTTTTCCTTTCCCATTCCTCAAATGGAGTCATGGTCTTATGCTTTGTGGGAACTCAGTTTAGGACATGACACGCAGTCATTAGCGCCTCCCCCCACCATTCCTTGGATAGACCCGAAGTGTCTAACATGGTGTTAACCATATCAGTTAGAGTTCGGTTCTTTCTTTCGGCTACCCCATTTGACTGGGGTGAGTAGGGAGGCATCCTCTCATGGATTATACCATGTTCCGCACAAAACAGATCAAATTCATTGGAAAAATACTCTCCACCACGATCGGACCTAAGCCGTTTAATTTTTCGATCAAGTTGGTTCTCTGCCTCAGCTTTATAGTTTTTAAAGAAAGTCAAAGCCTCATCTTTTGATTTCAGAAGATACACATAACAATATCTAGTGGAGTCATCAATCAACGTCATGAAGTATCTCTTTCCACCTTTTGTCAACATGCCATTCATCTCACAAAGATCAGAATGTATAAGCTCAAGTGGCGCCAAGTCTCTTGCCTCTGCAGTCTTATGGGACTTGCGAGGTTGCTTAGCTTGCACACATACTTGGCACTTGGAGCCTTTGACAGTAGAGATTTTTGGAATTAAATTCAAATTGGCTAACCACGTCATGCAACCAAAGTTAATATGACAGAGTCGTGAATGCCAAATATCAGACTCATTATTCTGGCAAACATTATTAATAACTTTAGTGCAAATATCTAACAAAGATAGGCAGAACAAGCCTCCGCACTCATAGCCTTTTCCAACAAATTGTCCACACTTAGAAATTACAACTTTATTGGATTCGAAAACCAACTTAAAACCATCTCAAAATAAACGGGAACCGCTAATGATATTTTTATTGATGGACGGCACATGATGAACGTTCTTCAGACGCACAGTCTTCCCCGAAGTAAACTTCAGATCGACCGTACCAACACCTCGAACGATGGCATGTGACCCGTTCCCCATCAGCACGGGTGAAGTCCCTGTTGCCTGGTAAGAAGAAAACATGGAGGCGTCAGCACAAACATGTACATTGGCACCGGTGTCAATTAACCAATCAGGGGATTGAAATACTGAAATGATGGTAGGAAAAATACCGTACCCTGATTCCTTCATATCAGTATCACCGATGACAACATTAGCGGACTTGCCGCTCTTCTCATGTTTGCGCTCCTCAAAGCGGTTAGGACACTTCGGAGCCCAGTGATTAGGAGCACCGCAGACATGGCAAAGTCCCTTCCCCTTCTTATGAGAAGTCTTCTTGAAGTTGGTAGAATGTGATGGCTTGTTCTTTGTATCAAACTTGTCTTTGCCCTGAGTTTTGTTCTTATTGTTTTTGAACTTGTTGGGCTGGGAGTTCTTCTTCTGTACCATGTGGGCACTAGAACCTCCCTCAGTAACTCGAGCACGTGTGTCCTTTGCTCTCGACTTCTCTTCAACATCAAGAGTACCAATGAGATCCGCAACGGAAAACTCCTGTCTCTTGTGTTTCAGGGAAGTAGCAAAATTGTTCCACGAAGGTGGAAGCTTGGCAATGATGCCTCCGGCAACAAATTTG